CACATGTTAACAGGAAAAGCATATGCACGAGCAATACGTGACCATCTTCTGGTGGATGCTTCTCTCAATGCCCTTGTGCTCCAAAGAGCATATGCCATCTCTTTTCCTGCTGATGAATCAGAGATCAACAAAATCCCTGACTTAAATAAGGCTCTTGAGACGTTTGGCACCCTTCTTGAAACTCTTGATGAGAAAACCACTGACCCTGTTGATGAAAGCTTAACACAAGTAGCTAAACAGATGGAGGCGGAAAAGCACAAGATCAAGCAAAGTCCAACAGGCAAATTGTGGGTCCGATATATGAACATGGTTGATCTCCTGCGGTTATTACTCAAAGCCCTTCGCACAGGACACTTCATGCTCTACCTAAGTACTCTTCAGAAGATGCTTCCATTCTATGCCGCAACTGGACACTCCAACTATGCGAAATCTGTGTATATCTACATACAAGATATGTTGGATCTCAAACACACAAAACCAGATTTATTCAACAAACATGACTCAGGACTATTTGTTGTCCGCAGGACTGATCGGTTCGGGGCAGGACTACCACCAGATCTAGTAATAGAGCAGGTGCTAATGCGATCATGGAAGATAACCAGTGGTCTTACGCGAGGCCGAGGCATGCAGGAAGATCAGCGGACTCGCTGGCAATGCCTGCTTGCGCTGAAATAATTGAAATGATGCAAGAATTAACAGGAAAGCAATACAGTACGAGTGAGCAACATAAAGACATGACAGATGCCTGGAAAGCTAGAGACCAGAAAGACGCTGAGGCGATTCTGGATTTTTTTCCAGATCACAATCCATTTGGGAATAAGGAGGATCTTTACAACATAGCCACAGGCAACAACGGAACAGAATCTGCCAATCCACATGAAGCAGAAGAAGTGGGGAAGGTTATAATAAATAAAATGGAAGGACGGGATGCATTTCAGTTTTCATTTCGGAAGAAATACCAGGTGGAAACACTTGGCCAGAAGGTGTTGTCAATCAATAGAGAGAAGGTCTCAGTTGACCCTCAACTCCTATTTCAGAGGTTGTTGATTATAGCCAACAACAATGACTGTAGTCTTGATAAGTTACTCAAGTATGAGCTGTCAACACATCCACCTGCTTTCTTTGACAGAAGGTGTTTGTTACGACAGCCAAATAAGCCACAGCTTGCAGATGCTTTTGCAAAAATAATATCAGATGAACAACCAGCAAAGCCTACAGAACAGGCAGAGTTCAGTATATTAGATGGTGGCTCTCTGATTCATCGACCACCCTGGGTTAAGGGTGAAACATTTGATATGATTACAGTAAAATATGTGACTCGTGTTAAGAAACACTTCAACAACCCTATTGTCATTTTTGATGGATACAGTGTACCGTCAACCAAAGAGGTAACTCATCAGAGGCGATCAAAGGGAGTTGTTGGACCCAAGGTGCACTTCACTGCCAACATGTCACTGAAATCAAAGAAGGAACATTTCCTCACAAATTCAGAGAATAAACAAGACTTCATTGAACTTCTCAGTGAAAAAATGCATTCAAATGAAATCAGAACCCTCCAGGCAAATGCCGACGCAGATTTACTCATAGCAAAGACAGCCATTGACCATGCCACAACTGGGATTACACATGTCATTAGAGAGGACACTTACATTCTAATATTACTTTATCATCATGCAGATCCATGTTCCAGGAGTCTATATTTTAAGTCAGAAAAACCGACAGCAAAGTATTCTATTTGGGACATTCATTTTCTACAAAAAAAAGCTTGGTGATGAGGTTTGCCGTGCTCTACCTTTCTTACATGCCATTTCTGGATGTGACACTACCTCTCGTCTGTTTGGAATTGGGAAAGGTGCTGCCCTCAAGAAAGCACAGAAAGATGAACTGTTCATAAAACAAGCACAAGTGTTTTCTTCGAATAAGACTGCCGACAAAATTCTGGAAGCTGGAGAAAAAGCGTTGGTGTCTCTTTATGGAGGGTCATCTACGGACACATTGGATTCCCTGATAAAGAGGAAGTTTAGTGAAAAAGTATCAGAAGTGTGGATGTTCAAACCCTTCCACCAACATCAGATTCGGCAAAGTATCACTCTTACAGAGTTTTTTTTTTATCAGGTTCAAGTTTTAATAGGGAGGGGTACGGGTCTGAATCCGGAAGATTGGGGTTGGCAGTCACAGAGCGGTAGACTTGAACCTGTTACTATGGTTACCAGCTCCAGAATCTCTCCTTAGTTATCAGGTGCCAATGTAAAGGACAATGTGAAAATAATAGATGTAGCTGCAAGAAGCACGGATTAGAATGTACCATTGAATGTAATGAATGTCAGGATGAAATCTGTAAAAATATTTCGGTTGATTGTGATGCTGCGGTACACGCAGGTACACGCACGTACACGCACGTACACGCGGGTACACGCACGTACACGCACGTGCACGCGGGTACACGCACGTACACGCACGTACACGCAGGTACACGCACGTACACGCACGTGCACGCGGGTACACGCACGTACACGCGGGTACACGGAGATACACGCCCGTACACGCGGGTACACGCACGTACACCCAGATACACGCCCGTACACTCGGGTACACGCACGTACACGCATGTACACGCACGTACACGCAGATACACGCACGTACACGCGGGTACACGCAGGTACACGCACGTGCACGCGGGTACACGCACGTACACGCACGTACACGCAGGTACACGCACGTACACGCACGTACACGCGGGTACACGCGGATACACGCACGTACACGCACGTACACGCGGATACACGCACGTACACGCACGTACACGCGGATACACGCACGTACACGCACGTACACGCAAGTACA